TCGTAGTAAGGGCGATAGTACGAGCTAAGCCTGGTAACATCCCCCGGTCGGCGAACACACCTACACGAAAAGATAAACCGCTCTCCCAAAACCCCCATTTTATTTCCCGATCGTAACATGTCGGAGGAAAGGGATCCAAGAATGATTGCAGCGTTTACGCCTTGTGACATGGTCCTCTCTCCATTATGAACTTTTTTTTTATTTGCTCACATAATGTTTAAATTCAGTTCCCTTGTCATCTTAAAACATATAGCGTTAATGCGTTAAATTAGCATCTCAACTCGGGCTAAAGCGCTTTACCACCTTTTTGTTGCATCTATAGTATGTAGTCACTCGTCGCTAGTCTCATCCGCATCTGTATTCTCATCTTCACTTTCATCATCACTGTCTCCTATATCCTTTTCTGCGGGTATGTCTATCTCTTCTCCTCTCTCTAGCTTTCTTAAATAGGTACGTCGTTTTCTCTCGCTTAGTAGTGGCAATATCCTTTCCAAGTTTCTTGATTCTTGCGAGGACTCTCTGCTATCAAAGAAATACAATATTGTAATGTCCCATTCTCATTACAAACGTTACATGTAAATGGGAAACAAAAAACTTACTCAGATTTAATGTCCATTGTCTCTTGGCATTTGGCACAAACACCCTTTGTACTCGCACACTTGTTGCAGAGTATATGATATGCTTCTTTTACAGTTTTCTCTAAACATCCAACACTAGAATTTGTCCAATGATCCAAGAGATTTTATACAAGTTGAAGTAAATGTGAGACCTCTTACTACGACGATAATAGAAATATAACGTACCATTTCTTGGGTGTAGTGAGCGGTTTATACTTTTTGAATTGCTTTCTCCATTCAATTATCTCTCTACACCTATTACAGCTGCAAGAAAACCCAACTCAGAATACTAATGCCAATCGACTGACGCATTCCTACATCTATAATATAGGAAACTCACACTCCGTTTATAGGCAATGCATTTATGTATTTTGATTTCTTTGAGTTTTTGTTTGGTTTAAATGCCTTTGTATTCTGGTACTTTTGTTGTTGCTTTTTCTTTCCACTGATGGAAATTTTCTTAGGCACATGCGAAGACATTGTCCAAAATATTTCTTGCAGATCTCATCTCTATTCAGATCATGTGCAAAATTTTTTGCAAACGTTCAAAACCATGACTAATTATAGCGTATTATCGATATATAGACAGTTATTAAGAGAAGTGAGAATTCAGGTATTGCAATTAATTGGTTGTTACTCGTCTGGTTGAGTGTCCTCTTTAGATCATCTCTTGCGTGACCATACTATACATTTGCATCGAATCTTATAGGACACACTTTTCTTATTCAATATTGATAGTTCGTGGCTCGCAACAAGAATACCTTGTGGGAGAACGAATTGAAACAAAAGTTTCGAGATAATAGAGGCATCACCGACACTGAATTAATCAACATTCTGACCAAAGACGCACAAGACGTTTTGACATTTCTAAAGAGTACTCGCAAGCACGCTGTAAGATGTGGATCATTTTTAGGGAGAGTTATCTAGCCGTAATCCTCATGACTCATAAAGTTTTGTTCACCATTATAGGAACTCTTGCAACTATACAATCCAACTCATGGATTGTCACAAGAAAGCAAATTGAAGTTGACTGCTAATCGAGTAGGCCTGACACTGTCAGATGCGACTAGTTCAAGTGAATAAAGTGTGCGATTGTTTGAAATTGTATATTTTATAATAACCAACATAATATTGTTGAAAAGAATTTCTCCAAATTCTAATGGTTTTGTTTTATGAAACAGACAAATTGTGACTTATATAAAGGTTCTAAGAAGATTCCTATCATCGAACCTTGAATGTAAACAATAGTCCTCGCTGAGCAAACTACTTATACAGTCAATGCCTATAAAAATAATCAAAGTTAGAATCGCTCGATCAAGGAAAAAAATATTCTTTATGACAATTGTGGGGTAGGTCATACTAACCATAACGGCCTGTACAACGTCAGAATTATTCTTACGAAGAGCTCTGATAGCTTTCTTACGAGAACATTTCTGATTAAAAGACATGAAAAAATATATATATAGTTAGAATTAAAGAGAAAATAAATTAAATAATTGTTTGACGACCAAATACGTACAGCTTGCATCATTACGAGCTCAATCTCCTTCTGAATATCTGCTTCATCTATTCCTTCGTCTTCATCCTCGTCTTCCTCTTCATCCTCTTCTTCTTCCATAACTTCAACCTTGGGCGTTTCTTGAACTGTAGCCGATGCCTCGGGAGCACGGAATTGCTCGGCGGCAGGGGTCCGACTAGTAAGATCTTCTACCTTGGCCTCACCAAAGACGATGTAGCAATCTGATGTCGCTGACTTGTATACACCAGGGTTTTGCACAACAAAGAGCATCTGAAAAAAAAGAAGTGGTGATTAACTTGCAAAAGATAAATCCAATCGTCTGATCCGTAAAAATATTGCATCGGGTAAAATATTTGTTGCTCGCCGCTCCAACTCGCCGCATCCTACTTACACCATTTGGCCTACGAATGGTGACTCGGGCGATACCCGGCACAGATTTTACGCCCAGCTTTGTTATAGCCTTCCTAGCCTTTTTCTCGTTACGACTTGGACCCTTAGAAGCCTCAACCTGATCAGGGGATAATATACCTTCCTCTTCCAAAGCGGGCATTTCCTCATCGTCCGATTCCTCTTCTGATTCGACGGTGGCGCCCTTACTATTATTGGTTTCGGCCTTTTTTGTTGTGTCGACCAAATCACTCTTACCCGCTTCTAACGTCATTGTTTCTACCTTGGTCACAACATCTGCATCTGCTATCTCAGCTTTGACCGTTTCAACCTTGGTCACAACATCTGCACTTGCTGTCTCAGCTTTGACCGTTTCAATTTTGACTTTTTCAGCTCCGGGAGCAGATTTGAGAGGTCCTTTCGGATCGGTGGCGGGGTCGGAGGCCATGGTAATAATATAGTGTGACTTGTGGCGGGGGAGGAAAATGATAATGGTTTTCTTTTTGATCAGATTCAGTTGAAATAAAAATAGGCAAAGGTACTCGCAAAGCTGTTTGTGTACAGTGCGATCCTGTTATGCCAAGAGAAAATTTGGGGAAGCTTCTTTTTCTGTAATGCTATTAAAGAAGCTAAACAAGCAGGTTTTGCATTGCCAGTCTAATCTCCGAGACATGCTCCATAATATACATGGGTTGTATGTACCAAAGGCGCGCGATCCCATAATTTGTACACAAAAGAGCATCCATCCGTCACCACACGACGCGTCGTCGGTTGCTCCTTGCCAATGATGCTCGTATAGGCTAAGTAAACGTATCCCTCAAACAGACACTTACATGATATCAAATGGTTCCTTTAAGAATATACAGGGAAACTAGAATTTGCGATGGGATTCTCCAACAATTTTCGTTGAACCAACATCTACGACTGTGACCAATCACAGACGTGAGATTGATTTTTTTAAAAAAAATCACAATTACACCCAAAAAAGCAAGTTTATGCCCAGTAGAACATGACGGACAAGTATGTCGCGAACACTGTTTCGACGACTTTTCTGCGTCCGCAAGTTTCCTCTGACAACCAATCAGACTTCGTTGTATTCCCCTAGAACTCTGTTGGGTCGGGTATTGGTGTCGGACGCAGTAGATCAACGAACTTTGGTTGGTTGCCAAAGGTAAATACGCGAATCAATGCTTTTGCATTATTGTTACTCAATATGCTGATTAACTATTATAGACGTACCAAGTCAAGTGTCTATACAAGGACTGGTGATAAAGGTGAGCTGGGATAGCGCACTATGCTGCTCTCGGAAAGATAAATAGCAATAATTATTCAGTAGCGACAGTGTATTAATGCTAATAGTAGTGATATGAATAGTAACAATAAACATTACTTTATTTACCTAGGCACTTCTAGTCTTTATAATGGCGAGCGTCGCCCTAAGTATGATGATACCTTTCACGCGTTAGGGACAGTAGACGAGTTGAATTCTAGCATTGGGTAGAGTTTTACGAGCATCGCAGTTGTGGCTTTGTCGTGTATGCCGGGATAGCATCTTGATCACAACGCATTTATTCACAACGCATTTATTCACTGTAGGATCGCACATCATTATTGTAAAGAGACTGGTAACGGATTGGATTCTAAATTGGTGGAGGTTAGAACATTATATGTATACGGGTCACATTTATACGTTTGTTGACGTTGGGATAAATTCTTTACTAGATCCAATGCAAACTCATTGAATTAATGTCCAATATCGCGACGCCAAGAAATTCGACGGATGGGAACAGACTGGGTATGGAAAAGCTGGTTCATGACGTGTTGATTAAGAAAATGCGTATTAATTATATTTGCTCGTGGGGAATGGATATGCATTTTTAGACCATACTGTATTTAATCAAGAGAATGTTCGGATACTAGAATCGTGGATTGACGAAATGGACGCGGTAAGTGATAAATACAGTTGATTAACGTTTCTGCTACTTGTCTGCTGACAGCTACGTTGAATTGCAGAACCTTCCTCCTCTGAAGCATTTTATTTTGCCATCGGGTGGAGAAAGTGCCATTTTCCTACATCAAGCGCGTTCTGTGGGTGATCTATTTTGTTTCTTGTAGTCATTATTTGACTTTGTTTGTAAGGGAAATCCGAACTTTGTTATGCTTAATCGTAATTGTTGTGTGTTTGCTAAAGATCTGTAGACGAGCTGAAAGAGTTGTTTCTCCTTTGGTGGAAAGTGGTGCTGCAGATTCCGAGGTTGGCCAATACTTGAACAGGTGACTAAGGCTTTTGTTTACCCTGTTTCTGTCAAGTATCAGAGCTCATCAAGTATTTTTTTTTTTTTTCGCTGTTTGTTAGATTGAGCGACTTTTTCTTTGTGGCAGCAAGGCATGCCGCAAAGTTTGAAGGGAAAGTCGAAAATTATTATGAGCAGAGAAGGAAAGACAAGTCAAGTAACCTGGTAACAAGAGAATTGTGAAGGTTACAACATCCTCTTTATAAGATCAAAAAAATTGCCGTTAATGATATGGTAAATATTCACAAAAGCCTCCCCAAGAAATTTACAGTGCCGCCGCTGGTTGATTCATATTAGCATATTAAGATGTATAATTTAAGAATTCCCCTTAGTGGTCGTCACTGTTACTTCATATGCACGCGAATAAAATACAGTACAAGGGGGATCATCAGGATAACAGAAACCCCACATGATCCATCTTATATAGGAGCAGTTAATAGAACTGCTTATTAGACCATGCTGCCAACGCAGCTTCCGCACGTTTTCTTGATGATAGTTCTGTGGAAAACAAAAGGGTAAAAGTTAAGCTATATGACTAAGTGCAGGGAGGCGTCTCTTAATCATCATTATTATTCTTACCTTCCATAAGGTATGTAACTTGCACTGATGTTTGGAAATAAAGTTAGTACTTTGATCCCCAATCTCTTGCTTGGACAGAAAAACAATAACATTCAGATACTTTACCAGTACCAAAGGAGTGCACACCACTGAATAACACACATAATTAAACACACGATGAAGCTCTTCAACTGTAATGAACAAGAACGTGCTAATTAACACTCTTGCGCTTATGCAACACCACAACTCTACGTATCAATTGGGGGTGATACATTACCACGATAGCAGCGACTAAAGTGGCTGCCATTGCCGCAAGGAATAATACCGAGGCAAACCATCGAACTACGTAACATATTACATGAGAACGTTGGTGCATCTCAATCTGCACAGATGCAAGAAAAGATGGAATGTACTAATCATAACATACCTGGTGCAAACATTGTCTTCACTTGCTTTTTGAAGCCAACCAAGAAGCCCGTACTAATCAATATAATAGTTTCAGTAAAACACGCCTTTGTAAAAATGCATATTTGCTGAGCATTACAGTTAGTACCTGATAAGGGATACAACGTTACCGAGGGTATAGAGGACGGCAAAGCCTGCTATGTTTCCTTGAATCAAGGCCAAAGACGACTATTTAATGAACCAAGAAACGAATTAAGAGACATATTTTAGATTACTTTAAACACAGCCACTTTATGCGTGAATTCGACCAAGAAACCCTACCACTATACTAATGGCAAAGCCCACGACGAAACTAACGCAAGCGAATACGGGATATATATTCTTTAATTAATAAACTAAGCAGAGTCAAGCAGGTTTGCATTACATTAATGCAGTTCTCTTAAACTCCAGTATACATGCCATATACCAAACGCATAGAGACGTTGGGTCCTTGACAACTTGAAACAGTCGTCAAAGACGCTTTTGTCGTCCATGGTCCCTTGATCACTCTCTGAACTATCCCAGAACCACATGGTTATAATCTTTTTGAACGAGTCGTGTTTATAGAGTAGAAAGGCCGCGATTTAACAATTTTTGTCCCAAAAAAATTTGTCACAAAAATAAGCCAGGAACTAAAAGTCCGAATACCCATTTCTTGCAATTTTTAATCATGTGACCATCACGTCATTCTTTATACATGCAGGTGAGCGAATTAATCTCCATTTCACTTGTCAATAATGTGTAAACATATACTAAACGCTCAAGTAAATAAAATATAATCGTTTTTGGCAACTCGTATAATCGTTATTTGTAATAACGGTTTATTAATAGACCATTCCATAACTTTGCTATTTTCAGGTTTCTATTCGTGCATCTTGCTGTAAACGGTGGTTTGACTGTGCAGAATGTCACGCAGAAGTGTCAGATCATGAGATCAGAAAGGCCGTAGAGATGGTTTTTGCCTGCAAAAAGTGCAAAAAGGTCTTTCGTAAAGATATGGAGAACTTTGACGAGACTGACGAGTATTGTCCACACTGTGACAACCACTATGTAATAGAAGCCAAGACCCCTCAAATAGGTATTGGTGTCGAAGGAGATGATCCACGAAAGGATAACAGGTAACGAAGCAAACTGTGATGGAATTGGTTTCGCTTAGAATCAAAAACCGAGTTTAACGTGTAAAAACTTTTATTACCTTTGTCTTGCAGAATGTTAAAGGATGATCGTATGAGGCAAGATCCGTCAAAGAGTGTGTTATTTCCCGACTTTAGTAATCGTCAATCGTGAATGCTATGCCAATACCGTCGAATAGTAAAAATCATCAATATAAAAACTGCCATTTAATAGACTTAATTCTAGAATTTATAAAACTTAATAATTTATTGCCAGCAAACAGTGGTCGGAGACATCATTAATCTTTATTTACACCACTTTTTAAAATGTCCAAAAAGGTTTTCTTCGACATGGATGCGACTATAAATATTCCATAGAGACGGGTTAGAAAAAACTGTTGACGTATCAATCAATCTTAAAAAAAAAAAGGGCGATATCATTGTATTGACACTTTACCATCCTTTGCTTGACGAATCGTCAATTTACCATCGCCCCCTGCAGCTTCGACTGCCTCTTCGGCCGTCTTCTGAGCCATCTTGATAGCATTAAATAGCTGTACAACTATCAAAATACGCAAAGAGAGAGACTTTGTTAGAGTAATTAAATATATTCCAATTTCATAGCATCTGCCTCGTCTATTCTACTCACCTCCTTTAGTAGCGATTCGGCTTAACCTTTTCTCATGTTCAAACGTAGTGAATTGCGTCTTCACTCTATCCTTAGAGGCCTGTTTCTTCTTTTCCATAGCGGCCGCCTTACGTGCTCTCTGTTCGCTTTTCTCTTGATTAATTTGTCGTTCAATTCCCTTGGATCGAGATAATATTGGTGCCTGAATCAACAGTCGATGCAATAGTTTTTTAGAATGTTAGAAAGATTTGGGCAGACGTACGGCCCTCCCTAAGGCAAGCCTTGCTAAGATAAGACTGTAGAAAATACTCGATACTGATACATGTTGATCGGCAGCTTTCGTTCGACTGGATAAGATCCTGTTCATAGCACCAGCAAAATCCTCTGCTGTTGTCTTTTTCGACCTTGAGCGTTCTGTGTGTTTGTTTAAAAATAATTCGTGAGATATACGAGAATGAGCATTCCATAACTTGGTTCATATAAAGGTCGACAACTCAACTTTGACCAAGTCTATATATTTCAGAATCATCGCTACTACTCTCGTCGTCAACTACAACTCCTTCACTGTCATCATCACTGGTATCTGTTTCGGCGGTGTTAATCGATTCTTCCTCGATTTTTCTTCGTTTATTCTCCATTTTGTTAACAAATATTATTTGGGTATGTTATAACAAACCAAAGTGAGCATGACGCCACAGAAAAAGATTTTAAAATTTTACTGAGCGCCACAGATATTTGACACGTCACGTGAAAGGTATTTTGAAGTATGCACTATAATAATAATAATAATGTCGTCCCTTATCTTTTAATTACCCATCTGAGGGTTGTTCGTCGTAACTAAACTTTTTTTAAGCAGACCTACAATTATGCTCGACTGCCAATCTCAAGTTCAGCCCATAAACATTAAAGTCAGGAGTTTGACAGGCCAAGGATTCATTTTTTATTGTATTAGAATTATGTGGGGCAGACTGCAACAAAACCAGACAAAGTGAACATTTTATAAATGAGAGGCTGATTATGATGTGGCTGTAAAATTGACCAGTGTGATAATGACGTTTTGAAAAGTAATAATAGTGCTCATTCATAACTTATGGACTGGTTAATTTTAATGCTCGCTTTATCATACCAGAATGTGAGAAATATAAACCATAACAGGAGCAATATAGGATTACCTCTATATATAAAAATATTAATATGAAACTAATTTACATTAAATCCACTATGGAACCCAAGAATTACAGCACCATTAGAAGTATTCTAAAAAAAGCTCAAGGAGAAAAAATCGCTCCATATGTTTTCAAAATCAATGATACCCAAACTCTCCAGGAATACCTAAATAAAGAAAAAATTACTTATGAAATTTACCAAGAAGAACGAAAAATAATAAGCATTAAATGAACCTTCACAACAACTTATGATAAACCAAGAAAGAAAAGAAACCTGGCAGAATAAACAATCAAATCATTATTAATCATTATCCTCATCATCCTCTTCTTCTAGTTCAGCAGGCCCTTCTCATCATTTAGCAATGAGTCTTGTCAACAATTTTTTTATTATCTATTTATCAAAAAGCAATAATAAATCTCCCCCCGGCGCGTCGCTGGCAACAGTGGGGTGCTAAGCGGGGGGGACAAAGGGCAAACGGGACGAACCAGCGGCCCGGGTAGAGACTATGGGCAACGAAAGTGAATCCAGGGCGGAACGTGATGATTGATCGAAAGTTTTGTTCAAAATTTAACATGTCATTATACTAATATTGTTGACAAAGTAACCGTGTTATTTATCGACTTTATTCCAAAGCAAAAACTTGTATTCAGTTTGAGGCAAAATTTAATTGTACAGCAATCAAGCAAAAGCTAAGGCGTAACGCGGTGGCGGAGCCACGCTAGGGGGTAAAGTAGTATATTGTGCTACCGACTCAGATTATACAGACATTCAGCTTCCCGCTCATTTAGTGGGTCCAGAATTAGGGCAGATGAAACTGGAACACGCTATAGCAGAAGGGTATTTCGCAGGTCACGGCAGGTATGCCTTGAAGGACCAAGACTTCTGCAGCGGCCTGCACCATCTGTAGACAGCATCAAGCGAGTGCTGCCAACTTTCCCATTTTCAATATAAAGAGTGTCATTATTTATTTGCCGAGTTATTTTATTATCTTTTACAAAGTCAATAAAATTGAAAATTTCTTTACCATTTTCTTTACGCAAGAGTACAGAGACTTGGTATTTATTATCTCCTAAATACGTTCTCTTTAAATCATAACTATCACTGTAATGGAAGAAATCAGTATTACCCTCTGTTTTATATAGAGCCCCAAGCATAGTATTAACAGATAAGCACTTGGATGTGAATAAATGCTTATGGTATAGTTCAACATAAATAATTACAAGTGCAAGGCCTTCGTTAATTTAAGCCAAACAAAAATTAATTATACTAATTGAAGATCGCCCACTAAAGTTGATATGAGTACTATATTGTGAAAACTCGATTTAGCGGATCTTTTGATTTAGGGGAGGAACCGTAGCCTCCGTGAAATTCTAAATTTCGAAAGTCTCGTTGAATTGGATGCTGTAAAAACTTTAAAGGATGAAAAGCTTTCAAATTGCTCAACCAATACCTCCTCCTAAGCAAAGTAATCCCAGTCCAGATAAAATGTCCAGGGGATTCTTTCAAGTTCAGAATACTTCTTGTTGATTATCCTCAAAGTGCTTTTCATACTTCTTCCTGGCATGATTTTGTCCACCTAACTTTTCCATATAGTATTTAACAATTCCATCTTCAGTAAATTCTTTCCCATCTCCATAAACAGTTTGATCCAACAAGATTAGATTATCTTTACTGTCTTTAAACTCTTTCATCTCTTTCAGAATTTGTTCTTTTAAAGAACTATCAACTTTTAATTCCTGTAAAACAATAGTTCCCACCACTACTTCAGGATCAAGGATCTCGTTGGAAAAAGGCTAAATACCAAGGTCAATATTCGTTCTGCTCTCCCCCGAGTATTGGCTCGACATGTCCGTACCATTTTTTACTAAATTCTTAATATAACCTTTATAATTACTTCTAAGTATAAAGCGATGAAACATTGATGATGTTTGACTACTTAATTTTTTCTCATAAACAGTAATTTCTTCTTTGCAAATTCTTTCACTATTTTCTTCTCCCATTACTTCATCATAAACTCCTCAAGTAATGGCATCATTGTTATTATAAACTTGTCAAAAGAATTCCGGAATTGACCATTGGCTCAAGTTAAATGTTTACTTCACACAGAAAAGGAGCTTTAAGAATACTTGCACTTCCACCATCTAAAACATAATTTTTTCCTTTAATACTGGCATCTGCTCCTCTTCAATACATTGTATAAGAAATATCTAAACCTACACTAGGCTTATTAAATTGTAAACAACTGCTTTTTCCTACCTGCAAAAAAGAACTATTCTTGTGAATACTGTTTTGGAAAAAGAGCATGCATTATAAAAAGAATATCGCTAAAATGTTAAATCTCTTTTTTAACATTTTCCTTACTTTATTCAACTGCCTTATCAATTTTATGAGTAGAACGAGTTTCAACAAACTCAAAACTTCCTCCTGAATCACCAAAATAGCCCATTGAATTCTATTGCCACCACTATTTTTTCAATCTACAACTCGAGATGTAATAATAATTCTGTTATTATTCTACCTTTATGGTTCGATTTTAATCGTAGAAATGTTGCAAAATCTGTAACATAACGCTTTATGTCTGCATAATAATAAGCATAATAACGGAAACTCCTCATATACCATTCACGTGATCAGATAAACCAAATTTGTTTCTTTATGTAAGTTCTATACCCTGTTAGTACATTTTAACAATACTCGTTTATATTTCTATTTACAAAGTTATTGGCTCTAAATTCTTCGAATAGTGTTCTTATCTTGTCAACACGATTATCTATGCAATTCTCTGATAACCCCAAAGAAAGTAATCTATAATAACAGCCGTCACTCGATCTCAAAAAATAAAAGATAGATAGTTGACGCCTGTTTTGTCATCATTAAATGTGTTGATTGCTTGCTTTATTCTTACCTTGTCAACAGAAATTGGTGCTTGAACGCGTTTCTCGCTCTAGGCGTTGCGTTTGACACTGACTGATTCTGGAGCCACATCTCTAATAATTTGACGGTACGCTCATGATTCGCTTTGGAGAGTACTGATCTCCGTTGGAGCTACAAGAACATTAGTCGGCAGACTATTGGCACTGTCAGATTAAAATAATTCGTTTACCTTCAGCAACACTCTTAGCAGTGCTTGCAATTGCTCCGTGTCAAATGCTCCGTGACAGATGTCTTGAATGAATGAAATTAGCAACAAAACATAATCTTCAACAAAGAGCTCTTGCAACCATGATGGGTTAGAGTTGATAAACTGTACACGTAATATGGAGTGATTAGACATAAACAAGAGTCAGACAATGCCAAGTTTTAGTTACACACATATTCGACAATATCCAATACTCCTTGTAATAGCTGGGATTTTCGTCTAACGTCTGCTGACTCATCTGTTCTTTTGAATCCAGCATAGCTGAGTAAGCTTTTCAACATGAACAGATTCCATCGATTGTCTATAAGATATTTGTCTGTAATAACAAATTATACATACAGTCAATAGTAATCAAAAAAATTGTGATCCACAGACATCTCTTTGAAGATATTTCATTCACCACGACTGCTTTCACAACATTTCTGTATGCTTTCGAAACTCTTGGCTATCAAAGGGAGGATGAACCACGTATGCCAATCGTTAATCTGAAAAACAGCAATTGGTTATTATTATCAAGATCAAATACTAGTGTTAAATTTCAAAAAACGTGATTGGTTCCAACATGTTGCGTAAGCTAACCTTTGTAACGACAAATTCTCTTAGTAATCTCCATAATCTCATCAGAAGTACCTTCTGCTGATCGTCTCTATATCTGGTTTCGATATCGAACCTCGTACTAACAATAAAACACAAATGTACTAGAACAAAGATACGAGGTAGATTTTTAATTACACTTTACTGACGTAGCGCTGTCACTATCATTATTGTTATCGCCCGCACGGACCTACTATTGCCATGGTGTCACGTTTCGACAATTTCATGAACAAATCAAACTCGGCTAAGGACGGGAAGATTACTGTATTCTATTTGATACAGAAATTAAATTAATATCGACATTTAAAACTGATATTACCAAAAACAAACATTTACCATGCGACACCCAACTACGGCATCGACTGGCGTTGCAGTTGACAACAATCCAATAACTGCCAGTAGCAACTCTGTACTCAGGGTGTCTGCATACTCGTCATCCATTGTTCGTTGTAATATTCTTTTACGTAGTGACGATAGTATTAAGGGGTGTTGCTGGATCTCGTACAAAACTAAACGTGTATGGAGGGAAACCGGTCATTACTGAAAGAGTCCCTTCTAAAGTTCCCACAACATCAGCGTGGGAACTCGAAAAAAAGTTGACCCATACCCTTGTTATCGGGAAATGTCGCGAAGATTGTTAAGAAATGGAGTATGCCAATAAGAATTTTTGTCTTGTCTATTGTCGTTTGATTAAAGTTTGTCTTGTCCGACTCATCCATACGTTCGAGTAAGCTTTATGTCAAATTTGGTTAGTTTGGGAAACTCAAATTTAATGTTTGGAATAAAAATTACAAAGACGTACTCCAGTGTGTGATCAATAACTGAGAAGAATGCAGTAGAACAAAAAAAATTAGAACATTCGAAAGTAGCAACAGAATATTTTGATGTTACACTCACCATTAGAGGTGTATAAATGGAAGCCAAGAGAATGGCATCCGAAGTTGCTATAAAGAATAAGTGAAATATTATTGATATTCGGCAACCCTAGATATCAATTGTCTGTTAGAAAATCAAATTCCGGTGTAATTGTTCGCTTTCTTTAGCAGACAGCTTACATTCACACGGGAGATTTTCTAAAACCCCTGGACTGATTGTTAGACGTATTAGATCATTCCAAAAGTACAGCAAACGAGCCGAGTGTACTTCCTCGTCTGCTTTATTTTTACGAAAACTATGAACGAGGCAGATTGTTAAAGAAGAAATGATTTCAAAGAGTCGAACTATTTTTGCGTCTTGTTGACCGACGATGGATGAGTTGCTGAAGATGGACTGTGGACAATGCGTTTATAATTGTTAATATGGACTATTGCATATGCATATAAATTTTTCATAGTATTTACCATAATGAGTTCTACGACAGACGCATTATTAAAGAGCAGTTTCCCCAACCGAACACAGGTGTTATAGTAACTCGTATTGGTTAACCAATACTCGTTTCCAATCAGACAAGTAATTTCAACTAGTTGACTATCCCGAAAATGGAACAAGAGCCACCTGATAGTCTTATTCAAGATTTACTCAATTTGTTAGTATACTAATTAATGCGACCGTACTAATTTCACATGTTTAAAAGTTCGTTTACCAAATTAGTCACAAAGTCGTTCAGACTCCAACTGCCTTCGGATGCACGCCATAACCAAGGTAGAAGCACATGGTCCAAGGAAAAAACCAGTTGTTCAACCTCGGCGGTGCGTTCTTCTGACTGGCAGAATGTGTTTGATAATTCGGCAAGTAATTTGGAATACGAGGATGGCCGAAAGTCTAATTCAAATACGAATAATTGGGGGGGGGGAGTCGACAAAATTAATTTGTTATCCTGGTGATGCGGCAAAATATTTATTTATCGCTTACCGGATTCTTTTTTGGCTTCGGTCTCAATGGTCTACAGTATTGTACCAAATGTTAGTATTATTCCTATATGAAATTGTTAAGATTGTGTATTCTTACTATGAACACATAGACCAAATGTATGACTGAAATGCCTCGCAAATAATCTAGCGCTGCACGATTGCTTATGAATTTCAATATACAATCATATAAATCCAATCTCGAAATATCAGTATGCTTGAACCTGCATTTGAAGATTACCAATCATTAGCGACTGTTCGGTTTGCGTTTAGCTCTAATTAGTTTTGCAACTCACAGTGTATCATTGCACGACAGCTCAACGAACAACACAGCAAGAGCAGCTTTGTCTGTATGACAGTCAAAATTAATATCGATAGAAATATTACTTCTACTATACGATTCGTAGGCGAGTATAGACAATAAACCAACAAGTGTTGCTGTAGTGAAATACAGTTAATATAAAGCGTATGACGTGTGGTTTTCACAAAACTAGCAACAATCAACCCTTACACGGAAGGTTGGCAAAGGCCAAAGAATCTGGCATCGCATTTTTGTTACAACTGGTAGTAGTATCACTTTCGATAAATCCACCGAGTATTCGTATAATGACTAGAATAAATTTATCAAGATGGGCATAATAAAGTGTGACATTCGGTATTTCGTTCACCAAGCCATGGTTACCACCTCTTTCAATATATTCTTGCAATTGCGTGATGCTTGATCGATGCTGCATTGCAATATGCAGACATCCAGTCGTCACTAAGATATTAATTATACGACATTTGGTATTAATATTAGCCCCAAAAAATTGCTAATATTATTGGGCATAACAAAATTTTCTTATTTACCTAATTTTCTGGCAAACAATACTTTCCAGTCCTGACGGCTGCATTCGTGCTGATAGTCTGATACCCGACGGAATTCAACGGGTGACAAGTCAATGATATTTCCCAATAATCCAAAGACGTCGGCTATGGTTGAATCTGTTGCATGTGAAGTCGAGTGATCGCAATGTATCTGCAATGTAATAGACGTTTCATAAGGCAAAGATGAGCACACCATGTTTGCAGAAAAGAGATGATCAAACACAGTAACCCGTTCCATACCATTATAATTGGAACCAATACTTCGTCGGATACCCGCACCAATTGCCACGTCATTTTCTCGACTAATTCAGCAACGATCAGGAGATCTTTCTTTCTAACGTCATTTGTCAATCTCTCCAAATTTTGGACTTTTATTTGACCAATCCTTGGTATAATCTTGACGAGCAGGTGAAATATCACATTGATCAACTGTATAACTTTAAATTTAGTTCCAACGTTATTATTGGGGAGAGGTATTACAATCATCAAAGTACATTACCATTCTTTGAATATTTTACAATATGTTAGTTGCTTACGCCATTTTAGCCGCCTCCTTATGTCTGGTTGGTATTCATTATTCGACAAATACTCTTCTCCCTTCCACCATGAAGGTCCTCTATGTACCACATCATTGATTATATCCTCTTGGATAATGCGGAACATTTCGATTATCTCGGATATCTTGTAATCCTTTTCTGGAACACTGGCATCGGAAAAAATCACCAGTGTGTAATCAAGGATCATTTCAAATAGTTTCAAATAAAGCGAAAATTCTGTTTGAAGATCTTTGTTTGGTTTGGATGAGAATATTGCTTTTTTCGACAAAAAAAACGAAAGGAAGGGGAAAAGAATGTTTGAATTAGGCAATAGATGCCCATCGGCTACTATTTTTGTTAATTCATTGACCAAATGGTATTTACAATGATGTATATGGTAATATGAAGCAGTTACCAAGAAGCACATGACATACTTCTTCGAATCTCGAATCTATGCTCTGATCTGCAGATGGACTTCTTGCCAGTTGATCACGACATTCGTTCTCCAGTTCGGATAAATGTATTGTCAGTTAATGGGATTGTTCGAATAATAATAATAATACATGCAAAAAAGACAAACTTGATTTGCCCGCCCTTTAGCATACATACATCATGTAGAGAGACTATCACTTCATCATGACATGGTCCTTGCGAGGAGCTATCTCTGAGGATATCCATCGCTGTCGATAATCCAGGAAATTTTCTATTGTTCTCTGAACCCATGTCGTACCTTTGCATGAGAATGAGAAAACCTTATGTCTACATATAGATAAGGGTACAGGCTGCAGTTTATCATAATGGCTTGGTTGACAATAATTCTCACGGTTTCTCAACTCGTACTTGGGGTCTTTTTCTTTCCAATGTTGTTTCTTGCCGAGTTTTTGTTTCTCGAGAAAAGTTTTTGTATGGGCTGTGAAAAGTCTTAAATTCCAAGACGAATAGAATTGATTGGTATTGCACGAGTTGTGTCCATGATATATAATTACGAGTATTATATATGTCACGAGACTTGTCCTGTGGCGGAGTGTCGGATAAGTCAGTTGCGGAGGGTGATGATAGAGTGATGATAGAGTGTTTGATGAAAAGATAGAGCGTATATACTTGGAGTGTATACTTGGAGTGTATACTTGGAATAGGCCAAGACATTGTTACTTGCTGGGTTGTAACTATTTTCCGTAAGCGTATATTTTAATTCTTAGAATCATATGTAAAGACGTCTCTGACAACAATGAAAACTGTACAATCACGAGTACACAAGATTATATTAAATTGAATTCTATGCAATATATTAATATGTACGCTGCTGTACCACAATGCACATATTGCACAAGTTATTTATACACATTTAGTCTATCATTTACAGGGGGGAAATTTTCCGGTTGTGGATAATATTTAGAATAAGCGGAAAACAAAAGATCAACTGATCATCGAGGCTGTGACCCATAAAGGAATCATATATCTCTTCAGGCGTATTCACGCGCTTTGTGCATCGTTACATAACCGCCCTGCTTTCGCTAATATCACCAACAATTAACGCCTGACAGAATTGTCGTCGCCATTCCCGTGTTACCCTATAATCCATTAAATTCCATTATTCTACCGTTCCCCCCAACCCAATTTTTTTCTGTTCTGTCTCTCCTGAGAAAATTTTATCCTCTCTTTCTTATCCGAAAAAAACTCTGGGTTTAGTATTAGAGAACTCGTAATAATATCGCAATGGTCGTAATGATTTCAAGAACATTGTCCGAAAAGGAATTACATTCCAAACTAAAACGAATATTCACAAAGATAGGATGTCTGGACAAGGCACAAGAGGTAAGATAAGAAATAGAAACAACAGAGGAACAAAGAATGAAAGAGAATAATAGAAAAAGAAAATACAATATAATAGCATAGCTGCATAACTACTACACAGGATATCAAAGAAAAGAACAATGAACAAGAACGTAAATTAATTCTCATGTCACTTATCAATCTTTTCGCTCGCTCTATCATCGCACATCCTTTAGGGCATCCGGGATTTATACGACCTTCTCCTAGAACACCCAGAGTGTGACTCAAAAGTAAACGCATTCCTTGAACATACTGGAATATTCTTCCGCAGATACATACGCAGTGCATTGGCCGAGATAACGACCATAGAAATGAAAAAGTGTGGCCTACTCCCAAGTACTCCTGCGCCCATCAAAAGAGAAGTGCGCACAGTACCGTTCGATGATTTATCCAGTCCGGCAGAGAGTCAAAGTGATAGCGACATCACTCTCACGGGAAGTTCCGTTCCATCGACCCCTGCAACACCCGGTTCACCTGTCATAACTGAATTATCCCATATAGGAGGTTGGTATTTTATATATATACTAGATACCGAAAATTGGATTTTATCGGTTATTATCAAATATACTGATGGCTGTGCATCAAACTCGTATGAATAGGATTCAAGGATAAATTCACCAAAGAGACATTTGAACAAACACGTTCTCGGCTACACTCGATATTCCAATATGAGAAGTTCAAGGTCAGTAACAAGCAGTATTCTAATTTTGTTCGAAAGCAACATATCTAAATTGGCGCTGCATTCCCACTCTTTTCTTTTACAATCAATACTAAACATCAATATTTTTTTCTCATCTATTAAAATAGGACGGACAGCGGAGGTCCAGTCTTCCTAACATGTCACAGAACGACGTTGAGCGTCTTGCATATGTAAAGGACATCATAAATTCATATTCACATATACGACGGTCATCGTGGAATCATACACCCTCTCCACTCATACCGACAGAACGATTCGGGTCGATACCCAGCAGAAAATTCAAACATATTAATTTGGAATAATATTTTATTAAATAACCCGAAAATAATAGAACATTTTTTTTTAAATTATAAAACAAGATTATATTTCTAACTTAAGCTTCTGACGATTCGGTTTGTCAACTGAAAAGTATCATCATATAATCACCAACACAACGATGACATTAGAGTCGCTTGGGTTATCTTTCGACATATTCCAATCTTATATACAGACAAACGAACACTCTTTATTTACAAACTTTACACATTCTTTGGGATGGGGTATACTTATGTAGACTCGTTTTTGACGTTAAGAGAGTTAGAATTGGATTACATTGTCAGATGTAAAGTATTATTTGTATATACATACGTTTTTATATTTCATATTGGATAATTGATCACTTGTAACTTATATTAGTCAGTGCGGAACTTAGAAAGAATAAGATATCAATAAACTTGCATTTGTCTCTCAAGGAGAGAGATTTTTCCATACTCGATGATTTTCATACTTGCAAGTATTCTTTTTTTTTTACTCTCTTCTCCTGTTTTCATATTCCCTCCAATACCCCGCATCTGCAATATTGTGGAACAGATTGGCTTTGCATCTGCATGCTCATTCCGCCTATAGCTTGGCGACTTACACTTTGGGACATATATATGTACACCCAAGACTTCAGGAGTAAATCATGATACATTTATTTTTGGACCACATAAACTATAAAGAAACACATCATTTTCTAAGCGAAGCGATTCTGAAACGAAGGTCGGAGATTTTGGGCCGTGTTTATGGTTACTGGAATTAGGATAACAAGGGTCTTGATATCGATGCCTTGATTAAGGTTTTGTGTTCTTGATGGTAAGGGACAGACAGACACAAAGACTCCTTCAAATATAAATCTAGAGACTAAACTTTTATAGAAGAATAAAAAAAATTTTTTTCTTTTTTTTCTTTTTTTCTTTTTCCTCCCTTTTTTTTTTCTCTACCTCGACAACATGAACCAATTTGGCTTATCTATTTGTGGGGCAGAATGAGGGTCTATAGTTACGCATTCGAGCACACCCGCAACGCAAGCCGCATCGTATTATTAATATCACAATGATTGAAATAACTACACTAGATCTACCTTCGAATATATCCGCAATCAATCTTATAATTACTTTGATGAGAATTAATTTTGCAAAAAAAAAAAAAGGAAAGGAAAATAGCGCACTACGTATTAGTTAGTTGTATGGATTACTTTCGACGAACCATAATCTGCACGGATCTTTCAGATTCGGACATTTAATGAAAGAAACGATATCTTCAATGTAAAAACGAATCATTAAGCTTAGTCCCAAAAGTAATAATGAACAATACACAAACGAACAATTAGCCTAATGTCCATTGTGAAAGTCCAGAGTAGTTAGAGTGCTTTATAATCAAATAACATACGGGCTTCCTAATATAGTATTGTGGACTGGTTTCGAAACTTGTTGAATCAGAATGTAAATACCCGACGAGTACTAAATCCAGGATTTCTTGTTATACCATTGAAACTCTAATGCAGCGTGTTACCTAACGCCTCGTTCCATATTATGCCATATTTATCCATATCCTGGCTCTCAGAGTCACAAAAGGCCAAATTAATTTAATTAATTAAGCTAAATCAGTAATAATTAGATTTGCCAATAAAGGTTGACATATTGTTTATGATAAGCTTTGAGGCACAGCAATCACAGTCTACCAGCTTACACGTCAATTGTAAACAATTCTTCAAGTAAACATGACGTTTGTGCAAAGTCAATACTAATCAATTTAAAAGCTTTGCTACCATCCGTGAGTGAGTAATTACATCTGTTGTCGCCGAGTTATCCCTTTCTCTGATCTGATAAAATTATGTTTACCTGATTACAAATCGGTAACAATTTTTATTACAAACAAACTTGTCATTTGACTTAAAAGAAAGACTTTGCCAAAGTAGTATTAGTCTAAAAGAAAACAGAAAACCAATAGTGAGTGTCAGTAATGATAACGTTAGTATTGTGTTGCCGAAAAAGTCTTAAAATATTTGATATTAATATCACTTATCGGTTTCTCAACTTTTAATAGAATTATAATTTTGGTATATGAGTTTTCATAAAATTTTATATTTAGTTGAGGTGGATGAAAATAAAAAGCATCCCAACTTTGTTAACGGTCGTTCTCCGATTGGGTAAAAATATTGAGGATATGCGATTGTGAAAAAGACCTGCGAAATAGTATAATGTGTATGCCTAGTGGGTCAGCGAGGAATATACAAACCAATCAAGTAAATAATAATACCACGCTGTTGTGTTGTCAAATGCAAGAATGATATCCGCTCGGCTCTATCTCCCCGACAGTCATTTAACCAGCCAGCGTTATGCGTAATATTTAGTTGAGCGTTGTCGTTCTGATATACAATCCATTTTTGATCGTGTGCAACGATGTTAGATTGATATTAAAATTAATCAAGCTAATAATAATAATAATATTGACCAATCGTGTATACACGATAGCCTTGACACATTAAAATAATAAGCAAAGGATTTATCGCAATAATAGTAGCCGCATGTGAACCAAATCTACCAAATTAGCATCTTAATCATAAGGCCGATAACGTTCTAACCAAAAACTTTAAAATTGATATTCGCAAATAAAAATTAATAACCGATATCATTTTGCTTTTTATCTGTCATTAAAGCTTGATAACCAATGCACCAATAGCGAGGTATCAGCATTTGTTTGCGAGTAGTGGAGCATGCAATAAATATCACATAACTGAAATAATCACATCACTGAAATAGATCACATTCTCAAGCGCTTTGTCTATCATAAACATTTCTATTACAGGTTAGTCGCAGACGCAAAAATAAACAGAAAGAAAGCTTTGGTACAAATAATATTATTAAGCGCGGAGATTATTTGCAGATATTTCTAAAACAAAAAATTACGAGAATATGGCTCTCAAAGAAGCAACTTTTCCGAAGCTAGTAAAAAAACTATATATTGAAAGAAGTTTTAATTATTAATTATGACAAAAAGCTTAACAAGAGACTAATACTATGTACAAAGAAGTTTTATTAAAAATAAGCTTATTGATTGAACAATAAAAACATATTTTTGACACCTAAAATTACAAGCGTGTTAATACTAGCTCTAAATGAAGGGAAACTAACAGTAGGACTTATTACCAACATGCGTTGTTGATTACAAAACAAGTAGAAAAGATATTATTATTAGCATTAAATTATGAAAGCATTAACCTTGAACTTATTAATATTAAGACGGACAAAAGTAATGCTCGTAGCAACAAGGTTCTTCTTGTTGATAGTATCTCTGTTATTCTATACAGAAATAAAAATCTGTTCACACTCAAACTGTACACTTTTAATTATAACTGTATAACAAACCATGTTTTTTTGAAGCAAGTGCTTCCCGTGCAAAAAGAACAAGATTGGATATTTTGGTCTATTTAGATGTTGAATTTTTTAAACAAATGTTAAATTTCGCCGATTGTGTCCAGTCAGATTAAAACATGATTTATTATTATTCACAAAAGCAAAAACTATGCTGAAAGAAAATGTCCAGTGTCGGAGATTAGTGAGCGAATCGTTCGCTATAACCTCAACAGTAATATAAGTTGTTTTTCTTACGCAAGATTTCTGTTTACGCACAAGTGAAAAGTAACTAACTGCCTCTAGCATGTAATTACGGGATAAAGTGGTCTACCTTGATAAACAATGATGGTTGTATGGACAGAAAATTGTTTGTTCGATGATAAACTTTTTTAAGCTCAGTGATAAACAATAAGAAAAGTCAAAAATATACATATTAACAGAAAATTTAAATCATTGTTTATGACCCACATTGTCTGTACGACTATTAGCTTGCTTGGTTATCGCTCGTATTTCAACAAAATATTGTAGTCTCCGCAAAGTTTAAGATGTCTTGGAAGCTCTTCTTCAAGAAATGCTTTTCCACGGCTCCGGCTTGACTGTTTTTAAATAGAGAGGGGGGATTAATTAATAGTTTTTCAAGTTCAATCAGTAATGATAATAATGGTATGAAAAAATTGTTTGAGAAAGCCAGGCTAAATATTACTGTACATGTTAGCAAGAATGCTTTTTTTGTGTTATTATATTCCAATTTATAAATATTGACAAAATTGAAACGTTTTGCTAATACAGACAATGAGACTACTTATACAGGAATAATTCTGTCTTTTACACATAAGTCTGTCATATTAATTTCGTGGTTTTTTTCCCTACCACACATTATGTAGTACTTTTGTAAAGTACAAGATTTGCTCTACGCTTTTTTATTTTTATTAGTTGTTTGATAGTGCTGTGAAAACTGTCAGCAAAACGCGTATGTCTATTACAAAAGCTGGCAGACACAGTATATAGACCTCATGTTCGAGCTATAAAAACTAAGTCTAGATTCTAACGTACAGTACATCCAGCGTTGATACAATACGTTGATGAAAAGACCAGAGGCATAGCTTTTGGCGTGCTAGGGTCACGCTGTTGCAAATTTTTAGTGAGTTCATTGTTTTTTTTGCGCAATTTGCGTAAATTTATAGAAACAGTGCGGGTAATATTCTTGATGATAAATTATAGTTGATAATAGATTAAAAAGACAATGTTTGAGAACAAGCTTAACACGTGTGGACAATTTGTCAATAATGCTTCTAAATACCTTTGCTAATACAAAATATAAAACACTTATATATTCATAAAATTTATAGCAATTAATACTATAAATAATCTCTCAAAGATATTGTACCCCAAGTGAAGTTGGTTTTAAAAATTTCACTAAATGCTAGTTTAGCACCAATGTCTTGTATCGAAGCTCGTTATAATAAAAGTTGGGCACAACCCATGAGCTCCGTTGTAGCACGAGTTCTATAATAACATGTATGAATTCCTTAATGATGACAAAAAAAAGTTTTTTTTTACAATGCGATTTCATTTTAACATAGTTCTATTATACCGAGCTTTCACTGTATTGCACAAACTCGATTATCGACTTGTCCAAAATGCAAGGCCAACACCTTTAGCGTTCAATCGTAGGTGTAGACAATGAAAGAACGCAAAACTCAAAAATGCAAGGCCAAAACATTTTCTGATTTGGGTGCTCTCCCATAACACAATACCCATCATATTTCAATAACTTGTATTAATGTAATTTGTTAACTCTGTTAACGTCAATGTTTCACGCTAGCTAATTTAACTTAGTCAAGTTGTCTTGGTTGTAAGAAAGATGGCACGCAAAAATCTTGCTGAGAGAATTCGAGAGAAATCGCGTAGAAGTTTTCGTAATGCAGTTATGGCTGATAGAAATAAACCATTAAAGACACAAATTTAGCAAGACCAAAACGCAACGTTTGATAGCGACATTTAAGCTTGATTACTAAAAAGGTGCATCACTGTAATCGAGATGGATATTATTCTTCTCCACTTTTTAGGGTGAATTCGCGATGTTTGTTGTGACAACCAATAAATTTTTGACCCCCCAAATATTTCTTTGTGGCGCTATAATCATTTTGGCTGCGATTCGTTGCAACATATAATGCTTGCCCCAGATAACTCAGGAGAATACTAGAAGTCAAGAAAAAAGACCCGTTTGCTCCAAATCCATCTCACGTAACGCATTCTGCCACGATTACTTACACATGATGAACACGGAAATGGAAAATGAGGATTCCCTCTACCCTATTGCCGTACTTTTGGACGAGTTGAGAGCTGAAGATGTAAACTATCGTTTGAACGCAATAAGACGCCTTTCCACCATAGCATTGGCTTTGGGTGTGGAGAGGACCCGCGACGAATTAGTACCGTTCCTTGAGGGTAAAGTGACTTTTAAAACTCAAAACAATAAATGAAGAAAAAGAACCCTTTGATCTACCTTTCCACTCTGAACCGTTACACTACTTTTATGCGAATAAACCTACTTAGCGAAAATCCTACCTCTTCTTTTTATCACAGAATCTATCGACGATGAAGATGAAGTTCTATTGGCATTGGCTGATGAATTGGGCAATTTTGTCGAATACGCAGGCGGTAAAGAGTACGCACATCTCATATTAGGTCCTCTGGAGAATCTTGCGGCCGTCGAGGAGACACTTGTCAGAGACAAGGTAACTAGTACGCATATATCGACAACGCGTTTTCTTTTATCATTCATCGCTTATTCGTTCTATTCTTTTATAGGCTGTAGAATCAATCAATAAAATCGCGAGCGTTTTAATCTCAGCAGCAGATAGAAACTTACTACATTCCTCTGGTCAAAAGGTTAAGCGAAGGCGAATGGTTTACCAACCGCACTAGTGCCTGTGGTTTATACGCTACTGCATATAAAAACGCTACTGTTGCTACGCAAATCGAATTGCGAACTGCATTCAAAAGATTCTGTTCAGACGATACGCCAATGGTTCGACGAGCCGCTGCTAAGAATTTGGCGGTTAGTATCATGAGAGTTTAATTGGTTTGTATGCTATATTCTTTATCACATGGACTCATCATCTATTGCTTTACAATGTCACAAGGCAATGGCTAAAGAAATTTCCAAAGAGCATATCATCAGCGATATTATCCCAACATTTATAAAACTCTCCCAAGACGAGCAAGATTCCGTGCGAGTGCTGACTGTCGAAGACTTGATTTCTATCGCAGAAACGCTGTCGTTGGATGAGATAAAAACCTATCTTCTTACACCTCTTAGAAGTATGGTTTCCGATAAGAGTTGGAGAGTGAGATATATGATTGCCGAAAATTTTGTGAGGGTACGTTTAGAGAATAGATATTGCCATCAGTCAGATGATTTTTCTGTATTGGCTCATGTTAATTCTCCCATAGATAACGAAAGCAGTTGGAGAAGAAATCATCCGTGATGAACTAGTACTGGCGTTTGTTCGGTTGATGAAAGATAACGAAGCTGAAGTCAAAACTGCCGCGTCCAGTCAAGTGCCAGGTACAAAATAAGGAAGGATAATTAAAAGTTGGAGATGATTTCAGACATAATAGCTAATGCTTCAAACACAAATCTAGGATTTGCTCAATATATCGACAAGCAAACGATTTTGATACATATTATGCCATGCGTCAAGGAATTGGTCACAGATACATCGCAGCATGTGCGTGCGAGCTTAGCAACACAGATCAGTGGTTTGGCACCGATTTTGGGTAAAGAAGCGTATGTATGAACCATACGAAATATTATTCTTACAACCAAGTTTTATAATTATGGAGAAATTTCAACAATGTGATATTTTCCCTCATTTCCAGCACTACCGAACATTTGTTACCACTGTTCTTGCAATTGCTCAAAGATGAATCACCCGACGTGAGACTCAACATTATATCCAAATTGGAGCAAGTGAATGAAGGTAATTATTTATTTGTTTGTTTTTTTATTCTTCCTCCATTGTGACACGTATTAAGAACTTATTTTTATGCTGAATTTCGCTAGTTATTGGGATTGAACTGTTGTCACAGAGTCTTCTACCTGCTATCGTTGAACTGGCCGAGGACAAACAGTGGCGCGTTCGCCTCGCCATCATTGACTACATTCCTCTACTCGCTAGCCAATTGGGTGTTTCGTTCTTTGATGAAAAGTTGGGCAGTCTCTGCATGTCCTGGCTGCGTGATCACGTTTATTCAATCCGCGAAGCCGCCACCATGAATTTGAAAAAGTTGACTGAGGTATTCGGTGTTGATTGGGCCAAGAATACCATTATACCTAAAGTGTTGTCTATGGGAAGTCATCCTAATTACTTGTATAGGATGACAACTATCTTTGCTATTACGGTATGAGATTCATGTCTTTCTACGCCAAATGACTGACAACATGCTGAGTTTCTTCTTGCTTTGCAAATTGAATAGACTATGGCGCCAGCAGTAACCCCAGAAGTAATCAGAGACTACATCCTTCCCACAGTCAATAACCTTGTGACGGATCCAATTCCGAACATTCGTTTCAATGTTGCGAAATCTTATGAAGTGCTAATACCGGTTCTTAAACAAAGTCAAGAAACAGGAATTCTGCTGGATACACAAGTAAAACCTGCGTTGGATAAACTAAAAGAAGATATGGACGCCGATGTCAAATACTTTGCTGAACGAGCGTTCCTTGCAGGTACGGTATTGTCACTGCTAAGTTTTCTAACATGAAACTGTTTTACTAATTACATGTTCTTCCAATCTTGACTTTTAGTTCAATAGAGTCTGAGCGTTCTTTATTAGACACTTATGGTAAACGCTGACGGTGATGTTGTTCAGTTCAATAGATGATTCGAGTTCTTTATTAGGGTCGTACCTACGGTGAATGCTAACGGTGCTGCTAAAACTAATAAAGCATACGTAATGCACGTTAGGCATTATACATATCTTACGTAATTAAATTAATAATAAATAAATATAAAGATACATAAAATCTTGGTCAAGTTTATATTAAATCTTTAGCTATAACCAAGTATGGTAGGGAGTGGTGATCTCATCTACCAAGAGGCTCATCATAATGCACCTTTGAATGACAGCTCTGAAGGCGTTCTATATTTCTGTGAGATCTAGCGCAGATGCCCACCCTCTGAACTCTTACACCAAGATTTTAGGCAAAAGTGTATGTGTTTGCTCTCCAACTGGCTGCTTTTGCAAATTAATCCGGCTGCACAAGTTATTTATTTTGTAAATTAGCGGTTAATTAAGTATTAACTCGGTATTGTCTGTGCATGATTCTAAACTAATCGAATTTACTCTAATTTTAATTTTTTCATTAAGGGGACTTAATGCCAAATAGTTCGTGACAGATTCTTAGCCAATGCTAACCTCACCACAGTAAGATTATCATCGATTTCATCGTACCCTCTATCTCCTTTATACCATCTTTTGACCTTTTCGATGCAAGCTAGAAATTCTTCTCTGTGATGAGAAGTCACTTCTTGTAAAATACGAAGAACTTCCGAGTTTTCTTCTACATTAAGTACGACTTCTTCACCCTGGTTCTCTCCTAAAATATTCATTATCAGCTTAAGATTCTTATAAACAGACATTTTTAGAATAAAATGTTACCTTGTCGTAATAAGGGCAGTGAATTGATTAACAATATTGGCCAGAATCTTCGTGGTGCGATATGCGATTTCAACATGTCTACTAAGGCCTGCCCAGCTGGTCTGTATTGTCGTGTCTGCAAAAGTCATTTTTATGTCATTGAGTCATAACAAAGCAAGAATATGGTGGAGAGATGAATCTTTTCAACTGACCTTTAGTAGTTCATGGAAGTTTCTGTACTGAACCAGGAAGTTGATAGATTCGTCTGGCTTTTCACATAACGAGACGCTATCAATAACGTTTATGTATGTCAACTCTCCTGAAAGTACAAAAGTAGTATGAATCTTTTCCATTAGCTTGAACATGTGTCTTTATGGTTTGCATGACTATACCTGTCTCTATGTACTCATCCAGGAAGTTATGAGCAATTTTAGTTAATCGAGGTGTATCGCCTGCTTTGGTATAATATAATATTGCCGATGCGTATCGTTTTTTCTTCCATATGCTTGCTTGCTACGCGCTTAAAATATCATCGGACTTAGCAACGAATAGTAATAAAAGCTCTTCGTTAACTGCCTGATGCATTTAATCCTTCTGTCCGATTGAATAATACCTTGCAAATGATCCTTGCTTCCTCGTGTAGTTCATTGACTTTGCAGATGTTCAAGATTTTTTGTGTTTTCCATTCTGAATCTGTGGGCATTCTGGCTATAAGCTAACATGACGCAAGAAGTTGATTGGTATAAGTAAAACATTTCGCAGATAATATTATGCATATTGCCAACATAATCAAGCGCTGACCTGTTGCATGTATGATCGTCCGAACAGTGGGCAGTGGCGGAAGTACTCAAAACCAACTTGCCACAAAGACGTGCTGGTTACTAGCAGCTCTGCATAACTTAATAAATAGTACTCACGGAGACTGCATTGAGGTCTGTGATCCTGTCAGGAATAATAATAACACGCTTTGAATATATATCTTCAATGGTTATGAATAGAACATAAAGGATACTGAGTATTATTTATAGATAGAAAACCGCCGTTTATTGTGGGTGCGTCCACAAATTTCAGCTTTTGAAACATATCCGCCAAATGTGCCGCCAACCATATATCAATATTTTCGCATATTCTTAGACCCTATCAGTGACGGAAGAAAATGAGTATTTGTTCCACAAAATAAAAATTTAATTTTTTAGAAATTCGGATCATATTACTTCTTCTATCTCCACTCGTAGGAAAGCCTTCAGCGCCAATTCGACGTAATTATCTTCCTGTAGAGGGAAATTTGGCAGGACAGCCTCTAAGAGTTCTCTAAGTAATTATAAAAACAGATTAACGCAAGTGATTCATTGTTTGTACCGCCCATCTACTGTTTGATTATAATTCCTACCGTATGTCAGCATGAGAAACATTCGGATGCCCATGAGCGATCCAAGCGGTCAATGCTTCTTGCCATGAATAGCAGTGTTGAAAGACAGTTTGCATATCTGCACACAATATGTTAACAATGGTAATTATAGAGTCTTGCGTATTTTCATCTGACAATTCCAAACTATTGGCAAACTCTCTTCAACAAATAATGATATCCAGTAAGTAACATTGACAGTTAATCAGAGAAATCAAAACATAGATGCCCACCTGCACGTGTTTTGCCACTGCCCAAGTCTGTAATCAAACTCTCTTCCGTAATATTGCTCGATACGAGGTTTAGTATTTAGATATCCGTAGAGCTGCTCGACTGCTTGCCTCTCTGCACTAATTTCAGAACTTCGAATCACGCTTTCAAGTACTTTATTTACTAAAGAATTACTTCTTACTATTAACCTGAATTCAGTAGACAATAACGATATTAATATTTTGTTAATATTCTGTCAGCGCCTTCCTTTATCTCTTACTTTTGGACACAAGCCCACAACTGTGGTTCTTCCAATGGCCGTGGAGATTCTCGTAATCGTGTTATATCCATTTTTGAAAACTCTATTTAAAAAAAAAATTATATTTTTTTTTCATGAGTTCGCCTGTAATCATACATTGTCAAACAATAATGAGCTAATCATAGCATGCTATTTTACCTTTTATTGGAAAACATTCGTTCACCCACCCAACGAGCGCACTGCCCAGTCTGGCCGATTTACGTTCCGAGCCCATAAATAGCACCCTACATAATTCCCATACGGTATAGATATCGGTGGTTGCTCGCCTCACCTCTGGAAACTGTAAACATTGCTCAATTAATTCAAAATATTAACAATAATGACGTTTGGTAATTCATTTATATTTTACCTTAGAAACACGCGCACAATGGGCTCTAATGATCGACGAGTACTCAGCACTGATTTCATCCATTGCACGTTCGTGAGCATTGAGAAGAATACTTATAGTAGAATATCAGAACGCGTCGTCAGGTCAATCTTACGGTAAGTAATTGCATAGTGATTGTAATTACACGTAATTACCTGTCCCCACCCATTTTTGATCGAAATCGAATGGCGTCGGGAGGCCGCTGTGCAACTGCAAACACGGCATAACCATCATTATAAAGCTAGGCGGCATACATAAAGTTAGATAAATAAATACAAAGTTTACCTCTTCACACGGTTTTGCCTTAATCATACTCACCGACCTCTGCAATTTATTAATATCAGTCAACGCATATTCATAGATCCGTTGATCAAGTGGCCATGTGTCTCCTTCAAACTAGAATTATTTCCTAGTTAATACCATAAGCACTCATGGATCAAGAAACAGCGCATGAGATAAAAGGATTTACTTCAAACACCTGCATGTCGGTTGGCTCCTTTGCAGCAATATAAATAGCCAATTTATTATTGCGTAATGGAGCAAATTTAGTTGATACTGTTCTACGAGAATCTGGCCATTTGGGTAAAGAGTCTTCTTCCGTCGACGAATCGATAAGATGTATTTCTCTATGGTCGTCTCTCCCGTTAACTGACCATGATCTCGAAGTTTCGGCACTCAAGCTAAAATGAGGCCTAGCAGAGTCTATTTGAGAAATACTCTCTGTTGTTGTCCAGACATATTCACCATTCTCTTGTGAGGAAAAGTTTGACATATTCAAATCGCGATAACAAACCACAAAAAAGCAAAAAGTTTCTCTCCAAAACCCAATTGTTATTTTACCTCAAAAGTTGACGTCACACGTTACACCTAATTTATGTAACTATAACTGATGATCACGCCAATCACCCATGGGACATTATATTTCCATACTATTTGTTTCCCCCCACCCTGAAAAGTTCAAATGAACCAAACGAACTTGAGAACCGAAGCCGAGTCAATGGTGAATGCAAATAGCGTTTCTACCAGCGAGAGTGAAGCAGATAAATGTACGCCACAGTCAGAAGATTTTGAAGAGATCGCAGGCATATCTTCGCAAAGTCGTGTTTCAGATAGTTATTCTTTGGGAAAAGGAGAATTAAGACGTCGCAATACAACAACAGTTGCAACAAGAAGAACAAGTACTAGTATTGATACTGGCACTCCTGCTGGCCCGTCCTCAGCTTCGAAGGATCAGCAGAATACACTGGCAGAAAAGGGCAGTTCAAGCACAACAGAGAGCGGTACGCATGGTAATAGCTCAGAGTACGAATGCAATATATGGTAAGATTTTAAACTCTCAACTGTATTCGAGTGAGGCTTTAAGAATTTGTACTGCTCGGAATATGTCCGTATTTATCATGCTAAACTCGTTGCTTTTTTTTTTTTTTTTTTTTAGTTTTGACACGGCGTCTTCACCCGTTTTGACATTATGTGGCCATTTGTTCTGGTATTTAATTATAAGCTCAATGGAGTGTTACTTTGCAATTTTGAATATAAGTAACTAATCATCTTATTATTTACAGCTGGCCTTGCTTGCATCAGGTAGAGTATTTAATATATACCTTTTCCAAGTCAGAACTCTGTAAATTTTGATATTAAAGACGTTTTTATCTGCAGTGGTTAGAGCAACAGTCACAGAATCCTTTGTGTCCAATATGTAAAGCTGGATGCGGTAAAGATAAGGTTATTCCTATATATGGAAGAGGGAAAGAAGCCAAAGACCCAAGGTAATGTTGAAAAGTCCACATTGATGTTTCGCTCACGAAGACATTAGATGAATATTAGTCATTGAATTGGTTTATCGCTTAATTTCCTTCAGGTTAAACTCGACTATTCCCAATCGACCGGCTGGCCAGAGACCTGAACCACAAAGAGATCCCAATCAACCGGGAATTCCATTCTTCTCAGGAACAACATTTCATTCTGCAACATTTGGACATCATTTCTCATTTTCTGCCACTTTCAGTATATTTCCTACATTATTGGGGGCTCAGTTTGTAAGTAGTATACTAGTTGTTATTCAAATACAAGCATGTGAATGTGTATTATAATTTGACTGTCGCCCAGAGTATTCATATTGTAATGTGAATGCATCGTACGATGATTAACCGCCGTGAATATGTTGTACAATTACTAATTCACATTCTCACATCTCTCCGTCTACAGTCATTTCCTTCACAACATACAGTCAATGTAGTTGGAAATGCACCTCCATCTCCTCAGCAGGCTTTCTTGTCTAGAATTTTGTTAATGTTTGGAGTTCTAATGATTGTTGTCTTTTTACTTCATTGATGTTTAATTCTGATATATAAATATTATACTTTAGCAAGCGATGTTGCTTAATAAGTTTTTGTAAGTTGAAAGGACAAAGTGGTATTACTTCAGTTTACTTACTATAATAATAATTGCGTTGAATCATATTTGGAAGATTCTTCGTGTGGAATTGTAAATATAGATGTAATTTGCATTCTGTGTCATAGGAAAGGATTGCCCATGACGCAACCTTACATTAATAATGTATCGATCACTGAGAGACGCCTAAGCGGACTCTGCACATAATGTTAAGGATTAAAAAAAAAAAACTTAATAAATATCATACACAGGTAATCGTGATCAATAACGAATATCTCCTTTATCGTTGTTACAGTGAATTGCCGATACCAATGTTTTGTCAGGAAGTGCGCTTTCAAGAACGTCCCCGAGCATCTCAAATATAACATGGCAGACATTTAATCGAATAATAAACGGTGTGTATTGATAATTTCTGCTATATATTTGTCCCATGATCAACGGATTTTATAATACGCAATACATTGGTGTCTGTATATTCAAAGTTGGAGAGTTTAAGATTTTGCAGCTCGCGATTAAAGCATGAATAATTTTCAAGCATTTGGTGAAACCTCCATATTTATAACTTCTCATGTATGTTTTATTTTCAAACACTTTGGTTATATCATATTAATATGTATCTTTATCTTGGCTATTTATGCTTTGTGACAAATTCCTATTTAGAATTCAGGAAACAACGCGATCTAAAATAATAAGACAAATGCCATCGTACTTTACAGCCTCTACATTTTATTGTTTTTTGTTTGTTTTTTTTTTTAATTACCTTCAAAAACGATAAATGGAGCAAGAAAAGCTAAACAGTCCTCGGTTTTTTCGCGCACCTGCCTACCAAGTTATGCCTCCAATCTCGTTGCTAGCTTAAAAGAAATCTTGAACCCGACTCTTTCCGAAAAAAAAAAGTGAAATGCTATCGAAAAGGACCTTTTTTTTTATTACATTCGTTGTCAACTCAGCATTGGAGATAAGAAACGCTTATTCGACTACTGAAGTTGCTGTTAATATTATACAGCGTCTAGCTGCAACGGAAGAAATAATAATACTACTATATTTTGCCGAGTAATGAGTGTCGATGCTTAGTGATGAGGCCACCGACTTGGCCAACTTTATTATACTATTTAAGTATATCTTTACAATTCTATATCTAAGATCAGACATTATCGTAACTAATTATTTCTTTCAGAAAATAATTTCTTTCTTGCTAGACAAATGATTTTACTGTTGCTAGACGAATGATTTTGCGTTGACTATTTTCTTTCATGATTCGTGTTTCGTAGTACTCTTGTTCGCAGACTTACATTGGGATCGTGTCTCGAATATACCTTAGGCAACAGATGTATTCTCCATCGGCCTTTCTATGCTATCCGTAATAATTATAAAATATATAACAATTAAATAAGAATACAACACTTCAGATTTAACCGCTACTCTTAATGG